TTATGATTACTGAGAAATATTCAAATCATTTCGTATGTGATCCCAGTTTTGCGTCATTTGTCTCTTTCGACAATAACTGTAAGAAATGCACTGCAATTGGATTACAATAACAGTTGTGTAGGAAGTAATCTTTGGTATTTAGTATCCCTTTGGTATCCCTTTTGGTATTTAGTATCCCTTTCCCTAATTTTACTATACATTAGTTCAAAGAATTTATGCGTTACTTACATAAATTAACTTATCAAGCAAATCAAAATCGCAATCAATTGGATAGAGGTTTCCAAATAAATTAATCAATTAATGTTTCAATTAATATAATTTTTGTTTTTCATGCGATTTCGGTAAACAACAATATTTGAATGAATCTATTTTTATACAATAAGTTATTCACTTTGAATACATCCCAAGCAAACTCTTTAATGTAATTATTTTAGTTTTATTTCATTTATCTAACATTTTTGCAATAGTTGTGGGTGTCGTCCACTCGTCCAATGCTCTCATCAGTCAATTCGTATATGATATACACTCAAGAAGTATAAACCGTTTGTTGCATTCAAATCAGAATTAGTATTAGTATTAATAATAATTTCTTAACTTTTAATAACATTGCATTATCGGAAATGTGTTTAATTTTTTTAATTTTTTATTTACATAAAAAATCAACTTCGTGCTATTGAATTCATTTTTTGATAATAAACTTTGACTTAATTACAAAACACTGAGTATTGTAAAATATTATAAGTATATCTACAGTATATTATAACAATTGTTTAAATATAGTATAAAATTTTGACAAATACTCGAATAGACATCATAACCCAGTTTTGCTGAGTCTGAATTCATTATGAACTCTATGTCCATAACTAAATAAACTTCTTTTCAAAATAAAAATAATTCATTTTAAATGTGATTTCATATTAAAGTCTGGGTTAAGTCGTCTGAAAATGAAAAATAAATTAAGATTATTTGCACTGCAAATGATGTTAACATCTAATAAAATATTAAGAGTTATGAGAAGATGTTTACACAAACTGATAGATAATTAATAAACTAATTTATTGGTATGAAAACATGAAAAATAAATTTTCGGTCGCTTTTAAGTGAAAATTAGATATTTTGGGGGAAAGTATATTATGTGAGCCAAGAGTGCAGTCTATTCTCCAATCGATGGCCATCTGTTCACATCTCACAACTCATTCAAAGAAACTTGATTTCTATTTATGGAAAACCGGAACTAAAATAACATATTTATTGACAAATATATCGAGAATCAGACCAATAAAATGTTAAATCACATTTTCATATAGACATTAAACAATTAATAATTTATAACTAATTTCATACAGCAACTCACTTCTCATTAAAAACTAGTTTTATTACTTATAAATTATAAATTTTTGGTGGGATAGTTCATAGTATTACCGGTAAGTATACTCTCCATAAAAGTTCACTTCAATCTTTGGACATAACAAACATATCTGTATTAAGAATGTATTGCAAACCATAATTCATGAATTCCATCGAGAATTGAATAAATCAATTGAGTAAAAACAGCAAAATATAATGCCTCAACTTTATTCTGAATCTGTTTTTATGTCATTTATAGGCAATTTATTATGAAATAAGTTTTGTTTCAAAAATATAATAAATAATTTGAAAAATACTATAAAAATGTAAAACATTTTCAACATATATTTATAACATAAATGTCATTCGGGTTTCAATTGATTTCCATAGTATTGACTGTCGGTTCATATGAGTGGCATTGGATTGCATTTAACACTCGACTGATTTTATTAGGGATTTTATGTTTATGATTAGCATTAGTGCCAAAAGTTATTTGTCTGCTGTTTTGGCGACCCGTCTCACTATTTTAAGCAAATGTTGAGACCGGGCTGTCATCAGCGCCTCCTCTAACACGTCGTGGATGTGCACCAAATTGGAGACATCGCACACCACTGTCACGTACTTCTTCACATCACTTTCGCCATTCAATTCAAACTTCAGTATCACTTCCGGTTTCAACTGATCCCTCGCTGCACGCGATGCCAATTGTGTCTGAAATCTCCACTCCAGTGATGAATAGCGCAGCGGTTGTAATGACTGGCTGTCCATTAGTACCTGTATTCATACAATTCATTAATAAAAGTTGAAAACATTTCAATATTTAACTTGATGCACTCAAATTTGCATCCCGGTCACATTACAGTGCAACTCTACAAAACTAAATAATTATTACGATATTACAAGTTTGATATTACTGTATGTTATATTGAGTAAGGTCCTTTTTAAATTAGATGACTAACTGTTACAATTAAATAATAAGGGAGTAAGGGAGTTGCATGACTTGATAATGGAAATATACTGGCTAACTATCTAGATATTAATCTACAGTACATAATATTAGTGTAACAGTATTTTTATATTATGTTATGAGTTGTGAAATTCAAGCATTAAATATGAGTTAAGGAAAACAAAACTACTTATAAGGACAAAGTCTACAATAAAATGCATCCCTATATTAATAGCAGTTTATAGTGTTTATAACAACAATGAATTTGTTTATATGAATACAAAATAATTGAATATAAAGTCGACGGAGTAAAGTGTGGACTAATTTTGCAAACATAACTGTAATATGCATTTCAAATAGACATAAATGAGAGTCCATTCAAAATATTCAGTTATTTCATGAGTTGTTCATCACTTGAATCAAAATTGAACTCAAAGAGCAAATTAAATAAGCAAGGTGATGTCTTAACATACAAGCATACATGTAAACAAAACACTAGAATCAAACAAATGTGGATCTAATATATACCTCACACGATGACATAAACGCGTGACTCGTGTTATTGTAATTTAGTGGCAATTCTTGGGATCAGATGAGGTGATGGCTTAAGAATATCATCAAATCATTCATGAATGATTGCAAACTCGTGAGTGCATCTCACTGTCATACATGGCATGTAATACAGGTTTTGGTGTATATGTGATTACACGTGTGCCCCATACACTGTATTAATGCACAAAATTACACTCAAATCATATGATAAGTTTGGTTGAGATAATAATGCATTAAATTGTGAAATATATGAACATTTGAATAGGAGTCAGGCTTGCAGACAATTGGATGTAACAAAAGTGTGTATGAATTGAATGCAAACTCAAACTCGAGTCAGAATTTAATGTTCAATAAAGTTCACAGAGTGTTAGCTTTAGTGCCGTTTCATACAATTTAGGCGTTTATTAGTACAGTGTCTGCAGCAGTGAATCATTTATTTATTTATTTATTCAAATGCTATGTAAGTATCAAATGGACAGCACTTGGAGTTGTGCTCTAATAGCTGTATATGAGTGGTGCCAGTGATGGCTAAATGGGTGATAGTTAACAGTTCCAGAGGTCTGTCTGTGTGCGAGTCTAGACATGGGTTGGCAGTTGTGTTGTGTTTAGTGTGAAATTCATGTGTAAAGTGATGTACAGTAAAGAGCAAAGTGTGAGACGCTATGAGTGAAGGCCAGCACTGGGAGGGAGAGGGAGGCAGTCATCAGAGGAGAGGGAGAGAGAGAGAGAGAGAGAGAGTCTGTGAGAGAGTGTGTGTTGTGTTGTAAAGTGCAGTCACTATTGAGTCAGTCGTCAGTCCTGTGACTGAAACCACATTAAAGTAACACTAATTGTAATCTCGATTGCTATACATTTGTATTATATTTAGATTTATAGTCATATCAATCGGATTCAGTGAACAATAGCTCANGAGAGAGTGTGTGTTGTGTTGTAAAGTGCAGTCACTATTGAGTCAGTCGTCAGTCCTGTGACTGAAACCACATTAAAGTAACACTAATTGTAATCTCGATTGCTATACATTTGTATTATATTTAGATTTATAGTCATATCAATCGGATTCAGTGAACAATAGCTCACAACTTGCACTCAAAAGTAAGTTTTATCTCTAATTATAACAATAATTATGATGCCTTTACTGTTAAATGTCAACCAATTTATAGATCGATAAAAATTTGAGATTTTTAAGCAAATAATTGATAAAAACATATATTATATGCGTTTTTGTGAATTGTATTGATTTTACTCACAAACCAGTGATTCATTTGATAATTATTTCCATATATAATATACAGACAGTAACTATGATTATAGGAAATAACACATGAGTTTCCTGGTATTGAAAATGTGATTCTTATGCCACCAGTGATTCCTCTGCGGTGTTGTGTCAAGAAGTATGATTGGGGACAGAAAGGGATGGACAGTGCGGTGGCCCGGTTCGTCAAAAACCAAATACCCGGCTATTCAGTGGACGCCGACTCTCCACACGCTGAGGTTTGCCATTGTATTGACGCCCAGAATATTCTGTATTCAATACTCATATATAATACTCATTGATATACTGCAGCTCTGGATGGGCACCCACCCGTCGGGGCCCACGATTGTGGTCAGTCCTGACCCGGAACTGGACAACAAGACGTTGTTGAATCTGTTGCAGTCATTCCCGGAATACGTGGGAACAGTCAATATTGTGGCCAAATATGGGGATAACCTTCCGTTTCTATTCAAAGTGTTGTCCGTAGGGAAGGCGCTGTCAATACAGGCGCACCCGAACAAGCAGTTGGCCGAAGAGTTGCACCGAACGGATCCTTTCCATTACCCGGATGCTAATCACAAGCCTGAGATGGCGATCGCATTGACAGACTTCGAGGCGTTGGTTGGATTCCGACCTCATTCGGAGGTCGAGGCGTTCTTAGACAACGTGCCGGAGTTTAGGGCTGTTGTGGGCAACGAGTCGACCGCTAACTATAAGAACTCGGCCGACAAGAAACAGGGACTCAAACAGTTCTTTACTGCACTGATGTCTGCGCCCGAGAATGTTGTAACGCAAAACTTGGAGGCATTGGTCCAGAGGTGGTCCAGAGAGGAGACCATAGACCCGGATAAGGAGGCGCTGCGGCAACTGTTTCTTCGCCTGTACTCGCAGTTCCCTAACGACATCGGATGCTTTGCCATCTTTTATCTCAATTATCTCAATCTGAAACCAGGAGAAGCCATATATCTGGGTCAGGACGAGCCCCACGCCTACATACTGGGAGGTAATGACAATGGATTTGATGACACTATGCTGTGATTTGTCACTCAAGTGCTATTGACTCGTAGATTGCATTGAATGTATGGCCTGTTCTGATAACGTGGTTCGCGCGGGACTGACCCCTAAGTTCAAGGACGTGAAGACACTGAGCAATATGTTGACTTATATCAGCAAATCGGCAAAAGAGCAGTTCCTCTCTCCCAAAGTGGTCGACGAGTTCACCAAATCATATGTGGTTCCGGTGCCAGAGTTCGTAGTGGACGCCATCCAAGTGGACGGACAACACGTGAACCTAACCTTTGAATACGTGCTGACGAAGAAGGAGAGCGGTTCCATAATAATCGTCATCAGAGGTGAGTTCAATTGCAACGAAACAGCTATAACTGCCGGTTATGTTGGATTCATTCCCGCCATGACATCGCTCCGTATCAATCAACTCAAGTCTCCTCTCTTGATATACAGAGCCTATTGTCGAACTGATTGAGTAATAATTAGTCGTCTATTAGTTTTAGTTTAGTTTAACTTTAATTTAACAAAACATTTATACAATATATCAGAGAAAAGGTTTATAATTTTTAGTGAATATTCAAATGTATTCTAATCTATCATGTGATACACAAAATGAATAATCGATTCAAACATATAATAAAACAGTTTAAGCGTTTTAAGTATTAATATAATAAAGCATTTCTATTGGAAAATGTCAAAAAATTTTGTGCAATAAATTAATTATTTTAATTATGGTTTTGAACGCGTATATACTCGAGGTTTATATCCTGTGTTTGTGTTGGAACTGCTCTTATTTCGACCGCTTGTATGCGATTCGCTGTTTGACTGGCTTTGTGAGTCCTCACCAGCCGGTCGTTTGGTTGATCCGGGTTTGTATATCTCACGGGAAGGCCGGTCTTTATTACGGATACGCCTCGAATCACTTCCTTTTGAACCCTCGCTCTTATTGGACGAACTCTCGGGTCTTTGACTTTTGGATTCTTTGGGTTTGCTTTCTTCGTGCGATTCTTCCGGAGGTTTTGTCTCTTGTGTTCTGTTGTCTGTATTCGTGTCCGACATCTTTGCGTCACTACTTTGACTGGCATTTGATTCGTGTTTCTTCTCGGCGTTTGAATTGTTGACCACTTTGACAACAAACGTCGAGTCGTTATCTTTGGAAGTGTTACCATCTTTATTGTCTTTAAATTTGTCGGATCTGTTCCGATGCCGTCCTTTAGGCGCGGGTTTCTCAGACCTCTTCACATATTCACTGCCTTTCGATTCATTTCTACTTTTATCCGAATCTCTGGTTTTAATTCTCATCCTTTCGTCTTCTTTTTTCACAGATTTCTCTCGATTTTCGTCACTAAAATCTCGTCTCTTATTGTCGTCTTTTCGCAATAGTTTTGTTTTCTTCTGCTGTTCCTCTTCTTTAAGTCTCTTTTGTTCCAATTGTTTGATTCTTCGCTCTTCTCGTCTCTCTTCTCGCAAACGGTTTTTCTCTATTTTCTTATTCTTCAAGAACTCCAGTAAAGGAGTACTCATTTTGAGGACTCCGTGATTGGCTCTCAACTGCTTATCTCTGGCCTCAATCTCCTCGAGGTATACCTCAGCCGATGGCATATTCGACTCGTTCTTCATTTGAGTCAACTCTTCGAGAAACTCCAAGTAATCCGAGTCCTGTTCAATGGTTCCCGACTTATTGTCTCGTCGTTTGTTAGCAATGGTCTGTCCGTTGGCCCCAAACCGGCGCCGAATGTTTCGCTGATAGGGAGCGAACTCAACGATCGCCGGAAACTCATTGCCTTTGATGTCGATGAAGACATAGCCGTCGAACTTGTCTTTGAAGATAAACACGTCTTCCATGTGAATGAAGTTTATATACGATCGACAGAACCCATAGACACCCAAACTCTGGTCACTCTTACAGAAGTAGTAGTCGTTGTGTTCGGGAACAGGAGATATGGCGTCCAAGAACTCGTCCGAAGTCATCGTCGGCGGCAAATGTCGGATCACCACCTGTTGGGTCCACACATGTATTCATTAGTCATATCATTACTGTTACCACAAGAACCTAATCCGTCATTACTCTTGTCTGCGGTGCCTCTCGAGTCTTGTCTTTCTTCACAATCGATGTCGAATTGGTGGACGACTTGGTGGCAGAACTGCTCTTCACTCGACTCGTTGTGGAACTGGTCTTCACGTCCTCCTTGTCTTCTTTGACCACCGATTCCGAGTCTTCTGTCATTTTGGACTCAATTGTTGATTGAGTGACAAATGAACGCAAATATAGTGTCAAATGTGTTGACAATTGAATGCAATATATGTCCACCGATTCAGTGATATCTGAACTGAAGTCTAGTCTAAAATTTTGCTAAATTTGTTGGCATTTAATAGAAATTACTTTTAATTATTTCAATCAAAACATATGACAACAAGTGATGCAAACATTCTGCCATTCAGTCAATGCTTACACTCTGCAATGACTATATTCTCCCCAAATATATTCACAAATGCATTCAATGAAGTGAACATAACTTATAGGGATTTCATACAAATTACAATTTGGACTCAATTCGCCGAAATGAGTCATTCATACAAATCCGTGCCAACAATGCATGGTTTGGGGCCCAAGTGTGCAGTGAATGTGTGCCCCAAACATGTATGACATGGTGTGGTGTGGTATGAGTTGTACAATAGGTTTGTATGGCTTTTCATATGCTTTATAAGCGTTGAGTTGTGTTGTGTTGACACACATTGAATCGAATTGGTGGACGACTTGGTGGCAGAACTGCTCTTCACTCGACTCGTTGTGGAACTGGTCTTCACGTCCTCCTTGTCTTCTTTGACCACCGATTCCGAGTCTTCTGTCATTTTGGACTCAATTGTCGATTAAATGACAAATGAACGCAAATATAATGTCAAATGTGTTGACAATTGAATGCAATATATGTCCACCGATTCAGTGATATCTGAACTGAAGTCTAGTCCAAAGTTTTGCTAAATTGTTGGCATTTAATAGAAATTACTTTTAATTATTTCAATCAAAACATATGACAACAAGTGATGCAAACATTCTGCCATTCAGTCAATGCTTACACTCTGCAATCACTATATTCTCCCCAAATATATTCACAAATGCATTCAATGAAGTGAACATAACTTATAGGGATTTCATACAAATTGCAATTTGGTGTAAATTCGCCGAAATGAGTCATTCATACAAATCCGTGCCAACAATGCATGGTTTGTGGCCCACCACACGTCACTTACACACGGGGTTTGTACATACTGTACCACACCACACCATACTCAACATGTTATCCAAACATACCGAAAAGTATACGAAATATTCGCAACTCAACACAACACAACTGTGTGTAACTCTGACAAGTGACTGACTATTCATTTGATGGCACTCTTGAGCGCTCACCTCATCTGATCCCAAGACCTAGACTACAGTGAACGC